GGGGGGGTGATCGTTCTTGGCTCCTTCTTTTCAAACTACCGCTCCCACAATCCTCCACTCAAGATGGCCACGGGCGGCTGCAGGATTCTGGGAGTTGTAGTCGCGAAAAAGCTCCGCCTTTGGCCCTGGGCCCACCCGTTGTCGACTTCTTAACTCCCAAGCATCGCCGGAGGGGCGCTCCCCCCCCCCGCCCTGCTCCTTCCCCAAGAAGGTTTTTCCCCCCACAGACACACACACGTGGGAACGCGGCCCTTCGGCTCCAGAGAGAGAGAGAGAGAGAGATGCCCCACCCGGCCCTCCAGGGAAGGGGATCTATTTTGGGGGGCTGGGTGGCGCGGCCCTTCGCCTCCAGAGAGAGAGAGAGAGAGGGATGCCCCACCCGCCCCTCCAGGAAAGGGGATCTATTTTGGGGGGGCTGGGTGGGGAGGCTGGCTCTCCGGTGCTCCTTCTTCCCTCCCCCCCCCCTTCCTCTCTCCCCAAAGGAGGGCTTCTCCCCCCCCCCATACACACCTGATGCCCTCCCAGGAGTCCCGACGGCCTCGCCTCGCCTCCGATGCAGCGCCAGGTTTCGTCGCCGTGGAGCTTAAAAAAAAAAAAGGAGGAAGCCGCACTCGCGGGGGCACGAGGAGGAGGAGGAAGGGGGAAGGAAGGAAGGGCTTTTTAACGTCACTTCCTTTCCTCCTTTCCTTCCGGAGAGCCGATCTAGGAAGGCCGCACTCTGCGGTTTTAACCCCTCGAGTGCTCTGAGAAATCACTCTGTGAGCGTGGAGGGAGGGAGAAACAAAACACCTTTCCTAATTAGCGAAAGGGAGACACGATCTGTTTATGGACGTTACACCGGGGCTACCATGTCCTAGAGACCGCATTGAGCCGCAATACTTTGGGGCCAGAATGGTTGTGTGTGTTTTTTTTAACCCCAGCCAGTTTTTTTTTCTCAGCCTAACCTACCTTACAGGGTTGTTGTTGTTCTAACGGAGAGGAAGCTTCGAAGTCCCGGGTGGACAGGCGGGAAAAAAAAACCTGTTGCAAATAAAAAAGGGACCTCCCACGGGAGGCTCTTGGGCCAGTCCCATTTCCTTTGCACTAGGGGCGGATGAGGGGGAGGTGGTTTGGGTGGGGAAGGATGATGAACGCCACCTTCAGTTTTTTGGAGGCAGGGAAGGCGAGGTCCCCAAGGCATCTTCACCTAAAACGGGTCGTCCTGACCCAAAAGCACCTTCGGTCCCCATGAAGACCTGCGCACGCCCAAGCGAGGGCACGGATCCTGCAACCAACAGGAGCAGCCGGTCTGGGCTTTGCAGCGGTTCAAACGCACCCCGCCTGCCCGGGAATTACTGCAGGATTGCCTGCGGGCACACGGATGGATTCTTGTCACTGGAGAGACTGGTTCGGGGACGGTGCTACAAGGAGGCAGGCCATCATGGCTGTCCAAAAGCAGCTGGACTCCAATTCCCATCAGCCGCAATAAAACTCACTCCCTGTGATTACTGCATGAGCAAGGGTTTTGATTTTCCTGATCCTGGGTTGAATTGCAAGGCTCCCTTTGCTTTCCTTCTCCCTCAAGGGCTAAGCAAGGTGTTGCTCCCCCCCTGGAAGCGGAACTCTAAGTCCCATCGCCCGCTCAAAAGTATGGGCCACAGGGAGGGCGGCAGCTTCCAAAAGTTACTCCAGCGACCATGAGGGCAGAGGGATTCTGGGAAAGGAAATCCAAGAAAAGGGTTCCCCCCTCCAAAAAAAAAAATCTGAGGGATAATGGGTTTTGTAGTTCAACAGCGTCCAGACAGGCATCATTTGCCCAACCCTGTTTTTCGCCTCTTGGGAAAATTCAGGGTAAGGGTTAAACTCTGAGAGTTTGCAGCCCTAGAAAAGCACCCGAGGAAGGAAGGAAAAGAAGAAGAAGAAGAAGAAGAAGAGGGAGGTCTCGTCTGTCAATATGTAGATTCACTTCCTGCCTCTTGTATTAATACTGGTGGGGGAGGAGAAGGTTGGTAGGTTTGCATATATAGATATATAAATATTTTTAAATTGCACTGGAGCACAGGGGCGAGGAAGAGCCGGTAGTTTGTTCTGGCTGAAAAGGATGTTGCACCAAAGCAGAGATTAAGGAGAGGAGAAAAGCCAGGCGGACAAAGGAGATCTTGATGGAAAAATGTACTGCAAGGTGAAGACAAAGCTGAGTCCCAGAGTATTTGCAATTTAATTTCATTGTCTAGGAATCGCCCTGGGGAGCCGCCTGTGGATGGTGATTAAATAAATGCATACGAGAAAATAAATTTCCAGGAAGCAAGATGCAGAAATCAGATTATTAGGTCCTAATTCCAGACTTTGTTGAACTCCAGGTCTGCTCAGGAGCCATTGGCAGGTCGAGAAGGTTGTTTTCTATGCTAGCAGAAACTTTGCTTGCAGTGTTACTGGTTGAGGCATTTTTATTATTAAGTGTTATTCCACTGATCAACTGCCTGCTGAAAAGCAGAGAGATGTCAGGCTTCCTCTGGCATGCTGCCATTTCCTCACAGTTAGTGCCTTGGCTGCTTTTCCTTTCATATTTTGTTACATTTTTTAAAATGCATTTTGATCACAGTCTCCATGAGACCATCTAGTCCAGCAGTGTGTTTAAAAGCCGGAACAATGCCATGACCACATTCCTGAGAGGCGGCAAGCCGGCCTCTGCTTAAGACTTCCATGGAGGCTCAGGAGGATGAGTTTTGAAGCCAAGCTGGTCTTCCTATTAGCTTCTTTGCCCAAATTTTAATTGTGATTATGATGAGTCGTGGAAACCACATCCTAAGTCTGGAATTTTTTTCGCTTCTTTGCACTATGCCTTCTGCGATCGGGGCCATTCTGGCTATAGGATTCTGAGATTTGTAGTCCAAAAAAAAAAGAGAGAGCAAAATTTCTATGCTCTGGCAAATCCTATAAGAAACCATGAACAGAAGTTTGTGGGGAAGTAGCTTTTATCTAAACCACTGGTTCTTAACCTTTGTTACTCAGAAGTTTTTGGACTGCAACTCCCAGAAGCCTTCACCATCAGCTCTGCTGGCTGGGGTTTCTGGGAGTTGCAGTTCAAAAACACCTGAGTAACAAAGGTTAAGAACCACTGATCTAAGCTTTGAGATGGGGGAGTCTTAAATGTAAAAAAGGATTGGACCGTGGAACAGTATGGTCTCCCTGTGGAGAGGGGAAACTTATGTTTCCTGCATGTTTTTAAGGATCTCAAAGTGACTGTTATAGTTTCATTTCACACTGAGCAGTGGGTTGGACTAGGTGATCTCTGACGTCTCTTCCAACTGCAAATTTTTGTGGCAGCATTAAAACAAAGCCTGCATGTTATTTACGTGTCATGTTCCCCACTACAAAACTGGACGCTGGCGTTACCTAATGGTAGGTCAGCTTGGAACTTTGCTAAGAAAATAACGGTATTGTGAAAACTTATTCATCCGTTTCATTTCCTGTCTGTGTTTTAGCTTTGCAGATGCCCCGTGAGGTAGGCCGGGCTCGTGACTGGCACAAAAACCACTCAG